AAATCTTCTTAGTTCTACACTATTTCATATACATTTTGTAAATGTATGTGTTGCAGTGTTTTCTATTGCCTCAAAAAAATAATCAAAGCTCCTCTAAATAGTCACTATCTATAGTCATATTAGGGTATAGTAGCATACTGGAATTCTTATTCCTATTCAACTATAACTTATTACTCAATTATTAATGTATCTCTAACCTTCCCCTACACTTTCCCTTTTCTTGTTGTTACCACTGATAAGTATGTGTACATACGTATTTCCACTGAAGTTATTTGCATTTCTTAACTATTACGAATTGTGTTGGGGTAAAGGTGGGTTATAGAGACATCTGTTTGGCTAATTTCATTACTCTTGAATATAAATCCAGTAATAAAACTGCTACATCATCATACAGTAATTTTATTTTATTTTTTATAATAGCTGTATTAGTTTGTGTTCTCACCAATCACTGAAGAGTTTTTTTTGTTTGTTTGTTTTTGTTTTTTTTTTTTCTGGTTGGCATTGATTTTTTTTTTTTGACTATAAATGTTTTTATTGGAGTGGTAGGAGATCATCTATTTTAATGGGTGTTTCCATGGGGATTAGAGACACTGAACATTTTCCTGTATTTGGTCATTTATTTGTCATCTTTTGATAAATGTCCATTTAAGCCCATTGTTCCTGTTAAATTGTACTGACTTTTGTTTTTGAGATTTTAGGGTTTTATCCATATTCGAGATAGTAAACCCTCTTCAGATGTATAGTTTGTAAATAGTTTCTCCCATTTTGTATATTGTCTCTTTACTAGATTGTTTTCTTTGTGTTTAGAAGCTTTTTAATTGGATGTAATCCCAGATGTCTAATTTGTGTTTGTTTCCTGTGTGTTAGATACTCTGTTCTTCAGATAGACCACTTGAAGATTGGGCTGATTTTTGTGTTGGGTAAGTGCTCTACTGCTGAGCTGTGTCCTTAGCCCAAAGATAAGGCATGAGGCTTGCTTTTAATGCTTTGTTAGGGCGATAAGACTTCTGGTACTATGGCTTTTTTTTTTTTTTCTGCTGGTTTGAATTTTAATGTCTCTCCTACCTGTGTGAGCTCTGAAAATAGTTCAGCTTGTACTTGTAAAGTCTGCCATTCCATGTATTTATGTCTTGGATGAGATCAGTAGGTTCATGTTGATACTCATCGTGTTCTCTGAATTTTTCTTTTTAAATCAGAACTGCCTCTTTTTATTTTTATTATTTTTCGACTTTCCGTATTGTAGATTTCAACCTCTTAGTTTCCGTGACTTCCGATCTTCCTTCCTCAGCTAATATGGCTTTTGTGGCTGCTTAGGGTGTTCTCTCTTCACTGCAGTCCTATCCCTCCAGGTAGGAAGCATGGGGCCCCCTGCTTTCGCTTTTGTTTTCTCTCAGGGATCATGATTCTCTGCTTGTTTCTGAGTCTGAAAACAATGACTTCATGCATCTTGCTTAGTTTTCTGTTTGTTTGATAGAGAACTGAGGCCCCTGTTACTCTATCATGGCTAGGGGCAGAACTTCAGTGACTGATACACTAAAACCAAGACAAGCCACCAAGTTCATTGTCAAGCAAGATTGAGCTGAAAGACACTCACTCACACGTCACTAGGTCATGGGTTTCTAAAAACTAAAATGCAAGCACTCCAAATTTAACAACAGCGTTATCTAGAAATTAGACATGTAGATATAAATGCACGGGCACACCCATATTCACACTTATTCACTTTTTTTTTCATTTTTTAAATTATGTACATTATTAAAATAAATTCTCCAATCACTATTTGGGGTACACAATCAGAAGTTCAGTGAAAATAGCAACTTTAAAACTGTCTATAGATGTTCTAGTTATTTGTATAAACTGTGACAATTTTTAATAGGCTCTTATTACATAGCCCAGGATGATCTCTACTTTTTGTTCTTTCTGTCATTAGTTCTGAGCACAGGGATTGGAAGTATGCTAACTTCTGTCTCCCATGAGATAGTTTAGAATTGCTTATTTTTATTTATTTTGCATAAAGATGCTATAATATGCATATATAATTTCCCTTTATCTGCAATGTGGCTCCAATTATTTTATAATAAATATTTAATTTAAGGAAGCTGAAGGATGATGGAATTTCAACTTGATAATCTTTAAGGTTATAATAAATGCATGGATGATAGTTTACATTAACATTTTGGTTTTGAATTCTAATTTTATGTTGAAATGAGACCCTTTTTTAGGTATAAGTCTTCCTTAGTGCATAAATATTGCAAATATATTAACCAATTAATTTTTGCATATAATTACATCTAAGAGGAGATACCAGTAATAAATACATCATTATGCCTAATAGCTAAGCAAATTTCATAAAGATTGTTATTATTGTTGGGCTTCAAGTCTTAATTTTACCTTTCCTCATAGTCATAACATCATAGATTGAGAGAACTCTCAAGCAATACCTGAAAACTTTTTCTGTGTGACCTCAAGCCTTGTACATCTTGTTTTGTTTAATGCTTATAGAATTATAGAAACAAGTCTTCGAATAAGTGATGTTGGTGGAATGTGAGTTGACATTTTCTCTGTCCTATTTGAATAGGGTTTTTTTTTTCTTAAAAAATCAAATTTATCTGTAGAAATTACAGTTTTTTTTAAAAGTATCAGTTAAGGTAACCAAGTATCATATTGTTAAAACAAATGAAAAGATAAGAAGCATGTAAGGAAAGAACCAAAGAAAAAAGGAGGAAAATACAGAAGAAGAAGAGAGAGGACAAAGAAAATGAAAAGGATGCGAGGAAGGGAGAATTGAGCAAGAGAAACAGTCACTATTTCTCTGAATTATTGTTTCTAAATATAGGTACTGTTTTCTTAAATATATATTCATATTTACTTTACTGATATAAATATTTAATAAAGAACAGAGACTTTTAATTGTCTGTTTGATACCAATGCAACTAACATCTTTAACTACTGTGAAATAAATTCCAAAAGATTTTTTTGCTGTTGTTGTTTAGTAATGGTGTTGTGTTTATGTGTGTTCATACGTGTTCACGCCCGTATGCATCTGTATGTGTCTGCACATGTGGAGGCCAGAAGTTGAGGTTCAATGCTTTCCTCAATCACTTTACACCACATAGATATTTCTTATTGCATTCTTATGTCTTAATTTTGAGTATGTATGCAATTGTGCATGTGTGTGTGTTTGTGTGCATGTGCAGGCCAGGACTTGTTGTATGGTCAGAGGACAACTAGTAGATGTCTGTGTTCTCCTTCCACCACATGAATCTGGACATTGAACTGGATTTGTCAGGTTTGGCAGTAGTTGCTTTATCAGCTCTGCCTTCTCACTGTCCCTTTCACCATATTTTTCATGTTTCTAACTGGATCTGAGCTCAACCAACCCCCTGTCTGGCCAGAAAGCCTTGAGGCTCCTCCTGTCCCTGCTCTCCTCTTGCTGTGGTTATAGGTGTTCCTGCTTCATCTGGCTTCTCTGTGGGTGCTGGGGGGACCAGGCAAGCTTGCAAGGCAAAACCTTTACTGACTGAATCAGCTCCCCAGCCCCTCCTCGTTAGAATTACTGATTAATTGCCTTGAATGTGTATTCCTATTTTTTAAATAGGCTCCAGTTCCATTGACTCCTGCATGTGTTTGTGGCCAAGAGTGGATGGAATTGGAAGATCTTGATGGGTTTTTAAGAAATGTATGCCCTTACGAAAATGTTATTGAAATAAAAATTATATTTTAGGCTGAGTAGATTACAGAGGGAACTCGTTTAAGTTTCATAAGTAGGCCTTATTTAGCCACATTTCAGTAATTAATATGGAAACCAATTGTCAAGATCTGTTGTCGGCTTTGGGCTATCCAAGGGCAATACTACTTTTGAAGATGTTGTCTGCTGTCATCCACATGTTCACTAGGGTTTTTTTTTTTTTTAAGTCAATTTCATCTTACCACAAAATATCTTACTGTAAATAATATCTGTAATAAATTATGCTTCCTGTAGAAAGCCACTTCTGGGTAAAAGGTAGCAACTTAAATCTTAGAACGATGTCAGAAAAAGAGAAATAACATCAGTAAGAGGGGACATTCTAAGTATAATTGCAATGGTTTTCCATGTATGAGAGTTTATGTGTAGAGAAAACAGCGATTAGTAATAAATTACGTTCACTTTTGCCTAGCAGTGAGTGAACTGTAGTTTTCAGACCCTCAGTCTAAAGACCTACATCACCCCAGTTTTATATCCAAGATATTCCGGGATTCAAAAGAAGCCTCATCGAAAGTAGAGAATGGTGACTTTACTATTGACGTTTGAGAATTCAAACCAACCATAAACAGAAAATATTTTCAAAAACTATGGCTGTACTACACATGCCCAAACATTTTTCTCATTCATCCTTATGTGGTTTATGTAGCATTTATGTTGTGGTAGGAAATATACGTAGTGTAGAGGTGATTTGATGTACATTTTTGGGACACTATTTTTAAAATTATTTTTTAAATTTTTTAAAAAAAAATTGTTTGCATGTGAGGGCTTGCATGTAACCATTTGCGCTATGTTCATGTCTTATACTCTCAGAGGCCAGAAGAGGGCATCCTGTAACTAGAGTTACAGGAGGTTGTGGGTGCTAGGAACAGAACACAGTGCCTATGCAAGGGTGTAGGTGTCCTAACCACTGAGCCATCGCTAGAGCCCTCAATGTGATACTATTTTATGTTAAGGACTTGACGAGGTTATTCGGGTTCAGACAACTTTGGTAGTCCCTTGAACTAAGCCTGGGATCACCAAGTGACGGGTTTATTTTAATTGACATTAAAGCTAGCTCTAAGAGAAGGCTATGAAGGGAATTTTCGTTTCTTCACTTCGCAGAGAAAAATCACACTCTAGAGGAGATAGTATCCGCATGTGTAATCCCCGTTTCTGTACAATTTCCATAATTTTACTTTATTCTCTATGTGGCACAAATACCAATTTTGTGCTATTATTTTTATCCTAACAGATAGCGAAAGAGAAATCTACTTACAGCCAATCAACATGACACAAATGGAAAAGATTTTCTCCGAATTGGTGTTGGGAGACACATTTCCAAATCCTACACTGGTTAAACTGCTGAAGGTAAAATAAAGTGCCGTGACGTATTTGTCTTTAATGGAAGGTCCGGAACTCGAGTCACTGTCATTGTAACGTTTCCCAATTTGTTGTCCTAAGGAATCCAACCATCCAATTTTGTCAGTCAGATAGGGCCTCTCCACATTCCCAATCGCGTACCAGATGCAAGCCAGCCAGTGGGCAATCAGGGCAAATATGCACATTAAGAGCATCAGAACCGCAGCGCCATATTCTGAGTACCGATCCAGTTTCCTGGCTACACGCACAAGACGAAGGAGACGTGCAGTCTTCAGAAGACCAATTAGAGTTGTTGTCTGCGGAAATAAACGCGTATGGTCAGAAAATGCTGTAAGCAACTGAACATCTGTTCACGTAAGGCAGAATTGTTAACAGAAAATGGAAGAAGAGGCTCAGGGTTGAATAAAGTAGACAGGTTAGTTCTTCCTTCGAAGAGTTTTAAATCCACTTTAAAAACGCTTTGAAAGGTATGTGACTCATTGAATCAGGGTCTTGGCAGACAAGATCCGTGGAAAGAGAATCTGCCTTCCCAACCTACGAAAGTGACCTTCAGACAATATGAACTTCCAAGGTGTTCCTTCCTCAACCAATGTTCAGGGAATGGATTGTGTGTCTTCCAACTATTATGCGCCACAATTAGAGTGTTGAAGGTAAGTACTCTCTAACAAAGAGAAACAGTTATTTATAGACAAAGGTTCTCTTCTAATGAGGAGAAACAAGGTCTGCTATTTCTTAAATGACATCTTTATATTAGCAACTGTGTGATATTGGGTATTTGGTGACATAGCTTGTAGAAAAAAATCACAAGAAAGGAAGACCCCAAAAGAGCTGGTGGCCCATCCTAAGCTGGAGTTGAAAAACACCTGAACAATATAAAGGAGACAGTCAAGTTCCTTCTGTAACTGTGAGAAGCCTTTTTGGATAAGTGCATGCATGAATTATAATCTACGTTTAAACAAAATTTTCTTTTTTTTCCTTGCTGAGTGCATCAAATTCATAAATCATTTCTTGCTATCCTGATGATATCATAATTGCATTTTGGAGTATGATACATCTTAACTAATTGCATGATTGTTACTGACCAGGTATTTAATGATATGATACTTTTGCATAATAATAGGCTATTTCACTGGTTGTTAGGAATTGAAATCTGGTAAGAACAAATTACAAGTTCATTTCTTATGTTTCCTAAATAATGTCAACTATAAGTACTATATAATTCACAGAACATATAATTATTCCATAGTTACATGGTGTTTACCAATCAATTATTGAGTAATTTTATCTCATTGTGGTGTTTATTTTGCAAACTACATCCAAATGTGTTAAGAATGCTAAGGTTTTAATTGAAGAAATAGTACATAGAATAACTATCATGCTATAGCTATGAGTATTGATTTAGTGAAAAATATTGCTAAGTATCTAGGAAAACTTTTTACGGAAAATTTATAGTAGATCCTCTGTTTTTCCCTTTGCTGTAGTCTAGCAGTCACAGGCAAAGGAGAATCCTTTAGACTCCCTTGAATTCATCTGTGTAAGATTGGAAGCTTCCAAAAGTAGGAGGAGTTTGCAGAGCTTGGATAAACTTGTCATAACTGGATTGTAATTTTGTTTGTCTTGGCTGTTCCAATGGTTAGTTATTATTATTTTTCACAGTGCAATGCAGAAAACGGGTTTTCCTTCTCACACATTTAAAGGCATGTGGACCTTCCATGAATTCCAGAATTTAAGATAGCATTACATGGTTCCCTGGAAGTAAAGTAAATGTCTCGATTTGTATCAACAATCCAAGTTTAGAGGTTGTGTGCAAGGACTTTTGAATGGACAGACTTAGTACTCCATTCTGCTTGCTCTGAATATGGCACTTTGGACAGGTTGTTCTTTTACTCTCAAGCTCAGTTACTCTGTAAATAGGAATATAATGCCTATAGGGTTGTAGGCAAAATCCAATACATGGTAGCTCTTCATGTTTCTGTTTAAACATCACCTCACATTTCTGTTTCAACAGTAGAACTGTATGCTACAGAAGTATGTTGATGGAGCGTTCACGCTTTCCAAATACACTACACAGACATCTGGAATCTCAAATGGAGGCCTGCAAACATGGACCATAGAGCTCGTTCAGAAAATAGCTGGGTTTTTAATAGACAAGGACTTCATCAAGGTATATTATTATAAGGCTTTTAAAGCAGGAGTCACCTTTGTTCAAAGTCTTACCTCCTTCACACAGGTCAGGCTCTTGAGTTTATTTCTTTTCCTAATATAACTGTTTATTTACTTATGTTTCAAACCGGAGCTCTTTAAAGTTTATTGCGCAAATACTAAAACTCTTATTCGGATAGAGAATAAAATGTTTCAAAATAATTGAAATATAATGCAGATTCACCAGGAAGTAGGTTAAATAAATTTCTTCGCAATACACAGACAGTTTTCCTAATGGGTTGTAAAGTAGTAGAGTAAAACTGGTGTTATAAAAAGGAAGACAATAGCCTGGTGGTGGTGGTGCATACCTTTAAACCCAGCACTAGAGAGGCAGAGGCAGGCAGAACTCCATGAGTTCAAGGCCTGGTCTACTGAGCTAGTTCCAGGACAGCCAGGGCTACACAGAGAAACCCTGTGCTACTCCTATCCCCACACCACCAAAAAAAGAAAAAAAAAAAAAAAAGAAAAACAATAAAAATCAGCTGTGCATGCTTCAAATCTTGTGCATTTCCACTTTTAGACCCTCTAAAATTTCTCCTATAATTAAAAATAGAAGTAAAGTTTATATGATACTAAGTTTTTCTAAGAGCATAAATCAGCATAACTTATATGATCATAGAGAAAGGTCATGTATTTTGGGGAAAGTAAGTTTAAGAAGTGTGGTGTGATAAAGTTTTAAGGTCATTGACATTTTTTTATATATGATAATTACAGAGATAATAAGTGAAGGGTGGAATAGAAGGAGGTAAAAGAGAAGGAAGAACAGAAGAGGAGGTAGAAGGGCAATGAGGGGAGAAGAGGCAGAGTGGGAGAAGAAGGGGAGATCATGAAGCAGCTGTGACTCTCACTTTCATGGTGATGAGGGGCTCCGTGAACAGTGACTTCCACAGCCATTCACAACTCTGCAAACATCTATCCAAGCATAACCATATAAGCTAGTTTTACAGTGTACCACTGTTGTGCCTTTTTTCTTTTGACAAATGCTGCCAGCTCAGTTGGGTCATCTTCGCTAGTGACCCTTGTGTATACTGCCACACTATCTTGTCTGAGGTTCTAGAGAGACAATAACTGATGACACCAAATTTCTGAGAGAATAGACTGGGACATTTCCAATCTCCTCTTGCTGAATAACTCTTGGAAAATTAAAAAAAAAAAAAAAAAAAAAAAAGAATGTAAGGGCCCTGGAGAGATGCATTGGTTAAGAGCATTGGCTGCTGTTCCAGAGGTCCTGAGTTCAATTCTCAGCAACCAAATGGTGGCTCACAATCATCTGATGCCCTCTTCTGGCCTGCAGGTGTACATGCAGAGAACACTCATACCTTAAATAAATAAATTCAACAGATCCTAAACTGTTATTATTTTTATAAATATGATAATAAAACAGAGAAGAAGTATGTGCTTCTACAATAGAAGAAAGATGCTTTTTCCCTCTTACCTATGTGCTACAGTAAGGAAGACACAAAATATTCTAGAATATCAAATTTCATCCTATAGTACCTGTGCAATCTAGAACTCAGCTTACTTATTATGTTTCAAAGATCAGTTTTTTTGAAGACTGTTTAGTAAAGAAACCTTACTTATACAAGATTTTCATTTTAAATGCTCCTTTTAGTCCTTTTTTATTTTGAAGAATTTTCCCCACAAATGCAATTACTTATCTCTCTTGAACAGTGAGTATAATCCAACAATAATGTTGTTTTAAAATATCTATTATTTATTAAAGGTTCTAAATGCCTTCTGATTTTGGTGGAAGTTAGGTTTTCTCATTAAATAAAAGCAGTTTTGATTAAACATGCAACTATGTTTTCGCAGATATGTTGTATCACAGACGAGACATAAGAAAGACTACATTAATTTTATGTGATGAACATAATGCAATAAATCAGTCAATTTCCTCTTTAAATACTAGAAACTTTTGTGAAGGACTGAAGTTAGGTAACTCTCATGAGGATTAATAACTCTTTACTCAAGAATAAGTCTACCCAGAGTTAAATTGAGAAAGCCTTACCAATAAAATAAATTATATGTCAAAAATTTAAAATCTGTTTTGTGAGGATAAGAATCATACTTAACACTGTTTACTATACTTAGTAAGCTTAATTGAGGTATACTCAGTAAAATTTAACCTTTAGATAAATTATAGCAATTATTCTTTATAAATGATGAAAGGTAAATATATTCTCTTTGGTTTTATCAAATGGGCTATAGAGCCATTCATCATTCAAAGTTTCACGTTAATACACCCTTCTATACTACTTCCCAAGAAATAAATGGGCAAAGTGTGGAGACAGTAACTTTTTCAAGTATAAATTTCATGATTCCACATTCTTTTTTTTTTTTTTTGCTTTGAAATTTATCCCAGGTAATTCCCATTCAAGTATATACTTTACATACCATTCAATGAATTTCTTAAACAATACAGCATTGTCTATTTTCTAGTCCTTTTTTTTTCAGTGTGTCTAATACTTTTTCAACATTTCTGAAGACATGTTTATTAATACTATCAAAGATCTATATTTGATATGTGAAGAACCCTGAGAAATTATCTAGCTTATTTCTTTACTCATATCAAACTTCACAAATGCTTCTACCAACTATGTGTTCCAAAAAATTGGGAATTCCTTTCAATATTTAACAATTTTAATAATCAATAGAATGATTTTGTTTCATAGTTAGCATTCTATCCCACTGTAATATTATATTCCTTTCTATTTCATTGCAGTAATAAAGAAACTGGCCATCAAGTGACTGTAAATTTTAACAGACAAATAAATATCACATAGAGAATGATATACCCTTTTAATTGAAATTTGAGTTTTTACCAAAAACTTTTCATTTTATACCATAACTATCATTTTGTAGTCAATCACATGCAAAACGAAACATAAATGGTCAACTTAAAGAAAAACAGTTTTTCCAGAAGGCCCTCTATAGTAGCTCCCACCCTTCACCCAACAGGGGCTCAAAGCAGATGCTGAGACTCACAGCCACACTGTAGGCAGAGTGCAAGGAGTCTTATGGAAGATGATAAAGGGGACAAGGGGATAGAAGGACATGGAGGGGACAGAAGCCCCACAAGGAGACCAAAGCTAAA